TTTTGTCACCATATAACATTTCAGAAATGTTTTATAAATCTCATTTTGCCCTCAAAACATCCTGGGAACATTTTAGAATGTTACAGTAAGAATGTTCCTCCTTTGTTATTATCTAACAAAATCTATGGTGCTTATGGTGCTTGTAACATCCTTACGACATCTTTTGAATGTTGTAGTTAAAATGTTTTGTCTTAGTTCTGGTTTTAATGTTGCAAGAACATTATTTGAAAGAATAATCATCCTTAAAATGTTTTTTGCATGTTAAATTAAAACATTTTCTTTATAACGTAAATAGAACTTGTTGGTAATGTTAGCCAATGTTATGGGAATGTTCCCTGCTAGCTGGGATATTTTGATCAGCAAGATAATCTTCACAAAGTAACACCACTTTTCTGATTTTTGAAGCCTAAATGCAGTCACCGGAAAACACTGAGAAATATGCCATTACCAGGGTTCCCACACATTTTTATTGAAAAAATGTCAAAACTTTTCCATGATTTTTCAAGGACCCATAATGATGTTTTTTCTTTCTTGCCTGACATTTTTCAAACATATCAGAGTCTGAATCTATTCACACATAATTTAAGTTAGCTGGCATACATGGAAGGAGAGACCAAACACATGGAGAGACTGAAGAAACGTACATGATGGTAAACAACATGTCACACATCGACGCATATTAGAGATTTGTTACATGTACAGCTTCAGGAAAGTTGTTATATTATGTGGAAGCTTATCCACAGGAGATGACTCTAACACTTTCATTACACACAACAAAATTCCATGACCTTCTTCAAGACTTTTAAATTATTTCTACTAATTTGATGATTTTTCCAGGCCTGGAAAATGTTATTGTAAATTTCCACAACTTTTTAAGGTTTTCCATGACTGTGGGAACCCTGTGTCAACTCAGCAAGCTCATCAGAACTGTTGAGTCTGATTAAAGCCACATGGTTCTTTAACTTCCTATACACAACAACCACACTATACCCACTTAAAATCAGGAACACAATCTCACCTTGTAGGCCTGTCCCATGTAAAGCTGGTTGAGTGTGTTCCCCATGGCTCCTTGGCTGGTGTTAACCATGAATTTACTCATCTGCCAGCTCCCCACCGAGGAGTCCAGGTACATGTAGTCCACCCCACTGCCGACCTCGCCGATCTTGTACCTGGGCAGTTTGTAGATGACAAACCTGCAGTGGAAGGAGAGAGAAATTTATTTTTTATTTCGTATTTACAGAAGAGGACATCTTGGAAGAAATGAAAGAATATTTGAACAGATTTTATATTGAATTAATGCCAAATATATTAAAACATAGTACAAACACTATCATACAGAAAATTTAAAGCACCATAACTGCAAATGTTGTGATATAACTCTGCTGCAATAGATCATGGCAACTTACCAATCAACAGGCTCACCAGCTTCATTTTTACAGGAAATTTTAGAACTACAAACTGTGCAACACAAAAGCATTACAATAATCTGTAAGCATAAACTCAAGAGTGTGTCCATCCTGAATAAGTCCTGCAGGTGAAGTGAACAAAAAAGGGAATTTGAAATCTTTTGTTGGGTTGTATGCTTCATGCTTCAGTAACTTTGAAAGTGACAGCAAGACAGCTGCCTGTAGATGCAAAACAGGAAGTCATAAGATGTGGTCACATGACGGAGAAATATTTAAGGGAAACTGAGAGATTACTGGGGCAATGTTAAATGTGTGGATGCTTTCGCTCGCTCTTAAACTGTGTAAAAACACAGAGTCTACATACTGTGCCTTTACTTATCCAGAAACAGGTTTTGTCTTTTCATTTTTTTCAGCACTGTTCTGCACATCCAAAGTGTTGAAACCGTTCACACGTGGGAGCCTCGCAGTCCAACCACAGTCGTCTTTTATTAGTGATGGGGCTGCTGATCACAGAACCGGAAACCATCTGGTCAAAGGGCTCTTGTGAGAAAGAAGTGAAATAAAACACTTTCATTTAACTTTGCATTTTATTGTTTGTCACTTGCATTGATTGAGACTGATATTTACCCTTTTAACAAGTCACTAAAACTTTACTTTAGTTACCCTTCCAAGCAACTTTAAATTGCTGACATGGAGAGCACATACTGTGGAACAAGAAATTAAACAGTAAAAACATGTAAAGGTAATTTATTCAAGGTTTTATGGATGAATAAATTGGACCTTGAATTATATCAGTTACTATGACCACATGACTTGCTGTTACGAAGGATCTGAAGAAGGAGAAACAATCAGAGCACACTGCTGCTTCCTTCAAAAAACAACCCCACAGACTCCTAAACTAAGACTAAAATGAAATAATCTATAAATAGATCTATGTTTGTTTGTTAATCTGTCATCGCATCTAACATTAACCAGCATGCACTGAGTTCATACCAAAACAGGGTGATATCAGTTTTGAGATTAACGTCTTCATTCTCATAGACAGAATACTGAACAGGCCTAACAGGCGCAAGTCCAGGGGCCCAAAGTATCAGGGGGCCTTCTCTCGCAAAAATATCAAATTAACATGTACTGATCAGGAAAAACCTCAAATGACCATAAAGAGACACAAAATGACAACAGAGAGACACATAACAACCACAAAGAGACACAAAAAACAAAGGATGGACACAAAATGACCACGAAGAGACACAAAACGACTACAAAGACACATAACAACCACAAAGAGAAACAAAATAACAAAGAAATAAGAAAGACGGAATACTGAACAGGCCTAATAGGTGCAAGTCCAGGGGCCCAAAGTATAAGGGGACCTTCTCTCGCAAAAATATCAAATTAACATGTACCGATCAGGAAAAACTCAAATGACCATAAAGAGACACAAATTGACCACAAAAAGACCCATAACAACCACAAGGAGACAAAAAAGACCACAAAGAGACACAAAACAGCCACAAAGACACACATAACCACAAAGAGACACAAAATGGCCACAAAGAGACACATAACAACCACAAAGAGACACAAAATAACAAAGAAAAGATACAAATTGACCACAAAGAGACACATAACAACCACAAGGAGACATAAAATGACAACAAAGGGACAAAAAAACCTCAAAGACAAGACATAAATGACCTCAAAGAGACACAAAATAACAACATGGTGACACAAAATGACCTCAAAGAGACATTAACAACCACAAGGAGACCCAAAGCCACATAAGACACATAACAACTACAAAGAGATGCGAAAACGTCAAGGTGGTCGGGCCCTTAGCATATATATGCCCAGGGGCCCATTGTCTCATAATCTGCCCATGTTCATTCTTATTTTCATGCTAAATGCAGTCTGTGGTGACAAGGAAATATTTTTTTTAATAAAATGTACAGCCCAAGTTAAAATCAATATATATTTATAATTTTTGGTACAGATGTACACATCTATAGAAACCGTATTGACAGATGGTCTTTCTGGACTTTTATGAGTCATTAACTAATCTATTATTAGCTGGAAGTGATTTCAGTATATTTTTAGGTATATCAATACCACTGTGTAAAAAGCCCCTTTATAAAGCATCAGTGCCTTGAGTGGTATTCATCCTACTAAAGCATGACGCTTGCTTTGTATTTTTAGTGAGCTCTTAAGCCTCTCCTTTGTACTGTCTGATCATTTACCTCCTGGGAAAGATCTGCAGAGCCCAATACATTTATAAATAACATATAAACATGTATAACCGACCAATCCAGGACTGTCTGCTGATGACTAATGTTTATAAAGCCAAGCTGGATGCATATCGGAAGGTTACAAACACATTACTGAATACGTATTAACACTGCAGAACTGATGGCTTATTAGGTGACAAACTCACAATTATTACTGATTTAACATTGAACATTTACACACATACACAACAGAAGGGGAGCTTCCTGGCTTCTATATTTTTACTGTAAATGTTAAACACAAACAAAATTATCTGCAAGAGTCATGAAAGGAGTGACCGTTTTCATATAATGAATTTTCAGTGATTCACATCACAGGGCTGATAAATTAGAGTGAATCTGTGTAAAAAGAAAATACAAAATAAAAAATGTGTGAGTCAAATTCCCATTTTATTTTTTAACACATCATGGCCCTACTAAGCCATTAGCCTGCCATTTATTTACAGCAAAAACTGGTACACAAACAGAGTCAACACAACCAAGAAAGACAATGCAGCCTCATCATTCATCCATCTGTCCACTCTCTGTGACTACTTAACTTTTACAGGGTCGCAGTGCAGGCTCCTGGAGCTGATCCCAGCTGACACTGGGCGAGAGGCAGGGTACGCTGAGGACAGGTCACCTGACAATCCCAGAGACAGAAAATCATTTACATTTATATTAACAGTCAGCAATTCAGAGTCAACAATTAACTAACCTGCGCTCTGAGAAAACAAACACCAACACGTGGAGAACAAGCAAACTCCACACACATCTGTGCTGCCCCAACCTTATCATGTTTCAACATTAACAACACTTTCTCTGATTACCATGATGCATCAACACACTTTCAAACAAGTGTACAACAAAATAAGCGTACGTCCATTGTTTTTCACAACCTGGCAACCCAAAAGTTGCTCTTACTGCAGACTTACAACACATCTATGGATCATTAGTAAATAATATTTTAAAAAAGCCATTGGTTAATAATTACAAACCCTTTTTAAGACAGTTGTGTCTTCAGTGTCTGTTCATGTCTTTTCAGGGTGTCACACCTATTCAGTCTCAAAATGTAACCGACTGAGTGGAACTCATTTAAGAGTTCAGTAATAAAAACACAGGCAGGTCACAACACAATAAAAAGATCTGTGTTTATTTAGGCTATTAATGAATCCATGCACTTTGGTGTTCTCTTTGCGTGATCATACATGTGCACATTATAAAACAAGACAAATGGGTACATTTGAATGTCTGAAAGCGTAACTGGTTAAACAGGTTCACCTGACATGACTTCCAATCAACAAAGTGCAAAGGTAGCACCACCCTCTCTACAAAATCCTCCTCCATTGGTTGGGACAACTTCTGCTGGAGGAACTGAAGACAGAAAGACAGACAGCAGGTAAAGGAAAGGAAGACACCATGGCAGCCGCTTCAAATCAGGTAACCATTCATTATGTCGACAAAATAATAATAAATAAATAAAAATCAGGACAAGATTTTGTTTTAGCATTAGAGGTTACATTAAATGATTCAGCACCAGAGTTTATCTCATTTTTGGGGTGAACGACCACAGGGCCAGCCAGGGTCTGCTGAACAAACCAGGGGTCGTGTCTCATCTGAATAATTAACCATGTCTAATCATAAAGTTAAACCCTGATGCTTCATCTGGAGAAACCTAAAAAATTAATTTATCCCTATTAATAAATTTTCCCATTATTTTTTGGGTGAAGACATGCAAGTTTTACTAATAAATTACAGGGATACATACATGTTAAAATGTGGAAAATAATCAAGCTGAAGCAACCAATCAGGGACCATTGCCACATTAAATGAAATTGCACATGGATGAAATTGCACATGTAACACACATAGAAAAATCAACAAACTGTAATATTTAAACATATCAGACTTATTTATTAGAGGTAACAAATGAATCTAAATGATGACAAGTGCTGAGGAAATATCATGGCTTACACATGCAGATGACACCGACTACAAAGGACCAAATATTAGAAGAAAGAAGAAGAAGAAAATCCAAAATAATCAAATTAAGTCAATGCACTGTTTTAAATACCTATGGTACAAAACACCTGTTCACATCATCAGAACTGCAACATGTCACTAACGTGTTCCTTTGTGGGGGCAGAATGTGGAGTTCGTGAGAACAGGCTACGGCAAGAACACAGTGAAGGTGCTGGTCATCAGGAGACAAGGCAGCCACCACTACATCATCGAGCTGAAAGCGGACGTGGAGCTCACGCTCAAATCACGCAAGGATTATCTAACTGGAGACAACTCTGACATCATCCCCACCGACACCATAAAAAACACCGTCCACGCACTGGCCAAGCTCAAGGGGGTAGGTCAGCTCCTCACAACACTTCTATCACTCCACTGATAATGGTGCCTTTGCACAGAAGGTAACACAGTCTGCTCCTTTTGGGAAGATGGATTTAATATTCGAATACTGTGGAAACACTTTTTCAGGACAATTTACAAAACAATTCCTACTCCAGAATCTTTCAGGTGATAAATTTTTACAAAATGATTTCTATTTGGGGTGCCCACTAGCTAACCTGGTAGAGCAGGTGCCCCATGTACAAAGGCGGTGTCCTTCCTGCAAGGGCTGCAGGTTCGGCTCCAACCCACGGCCCTTTGCTGCACGTCATCTTTCCATTTCACGCTATATCTGTCCTATCATATAAAGGCCAAAAAAGCCCAGAAACAAATCTAAAAAGAATACTTCCACTAAAGACCAACATGGTCAACACTGAACAACCATCATTATGTAGATTTGCAAGCTTGTGGAGCAAGATCCAAAATCGGCTAAGGCCTCTCACCATTTATTTTCAACTTACACCTTAAGTTACATTATGTTTGGGTTCTGGATGAAAACTGTCCCCAGATAATAAATACAATTATTCTGTTTGGTAAAATATCTATATTTAAAGCTCCATCAAGAACTAATATGAATCTATATTTGCTGAAAAAATAATTTGGAAGCCAGCTTCTTTTGGGAAAATAATTGCTACAAACCATTATTAAGTAGCACAAAAAAATAAAATGGCCAAAACTTGCTATAGTGAAGAGTGGGATTTTATTTAAAAAAGAATTCAATGCAAATGAGGTAGGAATATGGCTGGATTTTTGTCATGATTTTGACATGATTGTGGATTTAATTGAATAATATAGTACTTCAATAAGCTTTTTAAGTCAACAGGTCCTCTCCTAGTTCTCTGAGAAGTCAAAAAACCCTTAGCAGGGTGCGTTCATTAAGGTCATGCAATATTTAATACCTTACAAAGACCATTTAGGACCAGTACAGTGGATTGGATGCCAGTGTAGGCAGGCTACAACTGGAGTTATAGGGCCAAATGTTCAGGACCTTATCAGAATCACTATGTTAGTGCTCTGAACAAGCTGGAGCGCAGAGAAGGACATTACTATGTCAAACATTATGTAACTGAGGTGTTATTGAAATTAAATAAAAATTAACTACGGTGGGCCTAAGATTGGCGGATGGGCTTTATTTTTATTTAGAAAAAGAAAGTTTGTTGTCATCCATCTTTAACAACTAGATGCAACTACAGAAGTCTAGATTTTAAAGGGACCCTCCTTTGTTAAACTGTGAGACTCTTACTTTAGTCATTATTTTACCGCACTGTACTGACACAAGTGACCTGACGTCTGTCGACCCTCAGCTCAAACACACACTGTTCAAATAAAATCAAATTTGTTTCATGCTGCACTTATTTTATGTTCCTATTCTTCTATGAGACTTTTTTCAGATGCTTTGACCTAACAGCCCGTCACTCTGTGTATGCATATGTTCAGGTGAGGAGCATTGAGCAGTTTTCCCTGGATATCTGTCATCACTTCCTGACCTCTTTCAACCATGTGCTGAGGGCCAAAGTTCACATGGAGGAGGCTCCATGGAGAAGGTTGGAGAAGGTAAAACAGGGCTCAGTGATCAGTCCCAGACACAAGAGTTTGCCTTTTTGATGGCAAACATTTTACTGGTCACACCGGTAAAAACACAAGTGGAACCAATGATACAACTTCTGTCTGCCTCTGAATTACACTGATTCAGGCACTGAAGCTACAGTTGGTAACTTTTAGGATGAGCCTATCCTAGCTGACACTGGGCAAGAAGGCAGGTACACCCTTGACAGGTCACCAGACTATCACAGGGCCAACACATAGAGACAGACAACTATTTCAGCGTACATTCACACCTACGGCCAATTTAGAGTCACCAATTAAACTGCACGTCTTTGGACTGTGGGAGGAAGCTGGAGTACCCATAGAAAACCTATGCTTACACAGGGGGAACTAGCAACCTCCACAAAGGAGGGCTCCCCCACTGCAGGTTTTGAATCCCCCACCCTGGGTTCAAACCAAGAACCTTCTTGCTGTGAGGCGACAATGCTAACCACTGCACTAAAACACACTAAAATGTTTCTGAAACAAGAAGTTATTCACAAAAGTTACCAGCTACAGGTTTAAGCCCCCCCTCCCTTTTTCTAACCTCTGAATGCAGCCAGTATCACTGATGGGTGCGGTTGCTGTCACTGGTGCACTGACAGGAAATGAAATTCAGCCATTATCATTAATGTTATCAGTAACACTTGTGCTTTTCCTTTTATGACATGTCAAAACATTCATCATGGACGGGCAAATAGATGTAAGACCACTGTTATTTATGTTATCTCATTAAAGGCAATGTGTCTTTTATTCAGCACCATAAATCAAGTGCAGGTCAACTTGTTCAATTATGTGAAATGTCCATCATCAAATACCTGGTTTGTCTTTTTTCTTCTCAGAATGGGGTAGAACATGCTCATGCATTCATCTACAGCCCAGAAGCTTGTCGCTTCTGTGATGTTGAGCAGAATCTGAATGGTGAGCACGACCTAACACACATTTCTAATAATTCATCTGCTTCTGTAGAAACCATGACTGATATTGAAGTAAGTGTTAAGGCAAAGTTTGAGCAGGGCACATACCTCTGGATGGACTTGTACATCTGTGCAGAGATCTGTTGGTGTTTTTCTCAAGCAGCCTCAAGGGCTTCACTTGCTCAGTGGTTATATCAAAAATGATGTGCAGTAATTGGATGCCAAAGTTTCACCTGTTTCCTGATTTTACCCTTAAGGCTTGTTGATTAGATCCTCTGTGGTTTAGAGGAGGGGCAAATACTATCAACCGATGGATCTAAAACTATTCCTAAGCCCTTGACATTGCTGCATATCACTGATGCTGCTGCTGACAGGCTTGTGATGGGCTCAATTTTGTATTTTGTCCCCTGTGAGGCCTGCTGTCACATGTGATGTATGTCTGTTTTGTGCAACTATGGAAAATGTTTCTGACTACCGCATACTCACCGACTCTGTGCCCCAGGCATCCCGGTGGTTCACAGTGGGGTGAAGAACATGAAGGTGCTGAAAACCACCAAGTCCGGCTTTGAGGGTTTCCTCCGAGATCGCTTCACCACTCTGCAAGACGCCAAGGACAGGTGTTTCTGCACCTCTGTCTATGCTAGGTGGCGCTACAACACTCAGGATGTTGATTTTGATGCTGCATGGTAATTATCTACATTCAGTAAACATCTCAGTTGTAGGTGTCCATGCTGGCGTCTGTCAAGAGGATGGACACGTTAAATTAGGAACACAAAATAACACGGGAATGACTTTCTACATCTAATGATCATCACATCACTGTCCTCACAGGATGCGTGTGAAGGAGACAATTATTGAGAAGTTTGCTGGCCCCTACCATAGTGGAGAGTACTCACCCTCTGTGCAGAAGACCCTTTATGACACACAGGTGCTGGTCCTGGATAGAATTGCTAAGGTAAGTCCTCCTATTAGATTTTTATCAAACCTAAAATCTGTTTTATTCACAGCAAGAAAAAACAGCTGAAATTTAACAACACATGTGCGCTGATTACTTTTGCACACACACATTTACATGTCAGCACAGTCACTGCATGGTACGCATGAGGGAATGAATCTTCGAGGACAAGGCACCATTCATGTAACATCCAATAAAACAATCTCAAGTTAAACATGAACAGTTAGCTCATTCAGAGAAGCTCATGCTGTCAGTGTTCTGTCTTTTAGGTGGATGAAATAGAGATGGTCATGCCCAACCAGCACTACTTCACTATAGACATGACCAAAATGGGCCTCACCAACAAAGATGAAGTAAGTTCTGTTACTGCAACTAAACTTCCAAGTTATTGAATTGTTTGGTTACGAACCAGTTTTTCCTGCACAGGTTCTTCTTGCCTTGGATAACCCGTCAGGCAACATCACAGGGACGGTGCGCAGGAAACAGCAAGCCAAGCTGTGAAGACACCTACACATCCTGGAAATGCTGCCGCTATGATGTGCACACTTATCTGAACAAGCTGCTTAATAAAAATGAGAACAAACATTACCTTTTACAAAAGTTTCAATTACAGTTGCAACTCAAGATCTGATTCAAGCTTTTTGACCGTGTAGGGAAATAAAACAATAAAAAATTGATGAATTCATAAACTAGTATTGTTCTTTGGTGAGAAAAGAGCACCATTTATTGCAAATCTTTGATTCAGATATTCAAACTCCAGTGTTATGTTGCACATATACATTGGTCATACACACTTCAATACAGTTGTCTTTGTGACAATGCTGAAAGCACCACAGGTAGGAACATAATAAGAATATATACACATAAATATTTTCATAACAAGAGCCTCGGGGCTTAGATAATGTAGGTGTGCAGGAACAAACAGATTTTCGTTGGCTCCCTGTGTTTGGGAAAACAAAATGCTTCATTGTTACATGCTAAGGACGATTCATGGACTCAGCTGCACAGTTCATAGCATAAAAACTGATTTCAGGGCAAAACGTTATGCACCAGAAGAATTTTCTGCACGTATCAAAGTGTTCAGGTACGACAACACACACAGTTTTCAACTATATACCATCTTATATACAAATACTTTTTTTTTTTTAAACCAGCGTGTTAATTTATTTGCACATGTGCACAAACACACACGCACACACACATCATACCTGCACAGTAGCCGCCCAAAATTTCCTTCTTTTAAATAAAACACACACAAAAATAAAATACATATCTCAAGCAGCAGAAATTAGAATGGCTGAAAGGGTAAACAGCTGAGTGGACTTCATGTGCAACCCATTTTTGGGGGTCCACGCTTATAAAAACATACAGCATTCAAATCCTGTTAAGGTGCCGCTGTGGCCAGAGGAGTCTTTGTGAGGTGGCAGCTAACCTGGGGTCTCCTGACATGATGATTGTCGCTGAGGTGGGTGTTGGGACGGCCTGCGGTGCTACGAGGCGTTGCTCTTCAGGTGTTGAGTTTGCAGCGGCTTCACGTGATACTCGTAGATTTTCAGTGCAGGGCCAAGCTTTATCGACAGCCCTGTCAGGACGTCATTACGCGTCATCAGGAGCAGGGACTTGCCATCGATTTCCTGTCAGGTGGAGACAGAAATATTTGACTGACATCCTAGTTTGTTTTCGTCATGACACAGGAATTTTGAGCAGGAAAAGCACACCAACCTGATCCTGGAAAGCCGTGGCCTGCTCCTCAAACCCTGTTGCTTTGAAGTAATTGACGACATCGGCGACCCCCCAGTTGGCAGGGTCCGGCAGCTGACCGTTCTCCACTGGGCTGTGGGGTCACAGTGAATGCACACTTAACTGTAACAGCTGTTTAACACTCTTTCAAATCTTTCAATTAACAGTCTCTTGTCTAATTGGAAATGGTACCTTTTGGTGTCAACAGAGCCATTTGCTTTGTCTTCCATGCCGGCTGCAAAAGGAAATAAATACAATATTAATGATCAAATCAAAGTCCATTTATTAGTGTTTTCTGGAAGATAGCAACTCAGTAGACTCTATTTGTTGCGAAAATTGTGAAATGTGGTTCAAAGCTGCAAAAAAGCTCGTAAAATTTAGAGTTAAATGTCAAACTCCAATTTCCAGCATTTTCACAATCACTGTTAATTCTGCAGATGCTTGTTACAGTTGTTTATCTATGCTATGACACAGTTTGAGTGTAAAATATTCAAATCCAACATTAATTCAAATAAGTCAAGTTTTCAAAAGTTTGTACGTCTTTTTATAAATATATTACACTTGACATATTTAGTATCTTAAACCTTCAGGAGTTGAAAGGATTAGGTGATTAATAAATTGGATAATCAATGTAAAATAGTTAAAAGATACTTGATTATTAACTGTTTAATCTAATTATCAAGCCAAGTTTCATCTTCTCAAAAGTGAGGACTCCTGCCATTTGTCTGTTTCATGAGGGCGTAGGTTTCCCTATGAACAGTAGGGACATGTCCCTGTCATATCTGGGAAGACAGAATTGTCCCTACCAATATTTGGTAATATATTTTCTCAAAATATTAAAACTTTTTTCTCAACTTCTCAGAGAACTCAGATATATGGGATATGATGTGAATGTGCAGAAGGTTCTGCACATTAGCAGAGATACTGCTGAAACACATGGGATTAAATTTCAGTGTTTTATTAGTTGACTAAAATTGGTTATCACTGACATGAGTACGTGCCAATTGCACATTTAAAGAGACAGCTTCTCCAAACAAAAGAAACAAATAAAGACTGAAGTGTAAAACCTGCTTACATATTATCCAGCGGGGATAACAATAAATGAAATAAGCGCATCTACAGGAGAATAAATATTTGAAGGCAATACAAAATGCTTGAGTCTGCATTATATTCCATTATAGCCAATTTACATATTCTAAATCATCACTTACTGCCTGAACTTTTTGTTTTTCTTTAGATATATAAGGACATTTACACCATAAATCGGTGCATAAATCTTTACCAGATTACTGGAAAGGAAGTGTTTGATGCTCAAAATTTCCTACAAGAGGACTCTCAGACAACCTACCCATATCTGACCCTACCAATGTTGAAATAAAATCTGCACCCATTATTTTATATCACTGTAAATAAAGCATCTTTTGGTTTTGGACTGCTGATTTGACAAAACATGCAACCATGGGCATTTTTGAGTATTTTCCAAAGACGAAATAATTGTTAGTTGCCTAAATACAGGCAGAATAACTTGAAGCAACTTAAAACAAATGGTGTCTATATTATACATGAGTGTGAAAATACACTGTGTATGCTGAAATTGCCTGCTACAGCAAAGTGAGTATAATATTCAAATTTAACAACCCTAATACATGTAATTGAACTTTAGTTTTTAATTTTACACACATTTACCTGTAAATCAGACTGGCATTAATTTGTACATTGAGATTAAACAGTGCTTGCTCACAAACATGAGTTTAAGATGAAGCTCCCAAAGTGTCTGAAAATGCTAACTTGGTTTATAAGCTTATTGTCAACACGAGCTGTGGTTACTTTCAAACAGAAACCATGCTGTGGTTAGACGGCTGGTGACTAATGAAGCCTGTGCTTTCATTGAGCTCATGCAGTTTTCAATTCAGGCACTAATTCAGCTTTAATAGGCTAAATGAGTCTCTTACAATCTGTAACGTTGCAGTAATTTTTCATCAGATGTCTTCACTCGGGAGAACTTAGTGAGTTGGCAGCTCAAACACCATCATTGTTTCTCTTTCGCATTCACTGGGTGTCTTCACTGCAATTACATTAAAATAGTACAGTTGTTAAAAACAGTTAAAGGAACATTTAGGAGCAAAACACTGCTAAAGACCAACACAAAGCTAACGCTAGTGTTGTATCAGTAACTGACAGCGGGGAGAGATGCAGTGTGTGAAAATGACGACCTAAAACTCACGTTGTTAGCTGGATTAAAAATACCAGAATAACGTTAAAAACAACATGAAATTGCGTTAACTAAAACAAACATAAATAGGAGTTAAAATGAGCAGTCAATACAGCACAATATGGGAGTTACGTGACGCTAATTGACGACAGCTACTATTTAATCGCTGTCTCTTCGTATTTCGTATTAAGCTAACAGTGATGTTAGCTGTGCTTGCTAATACAAAATTTACCAGTTACCTTATTTTAGAAGATTCCTGCTTGACAACAACAGTCCGTCCAAGATACACACGTACTTTGGTTGACAAAAAGTTTTCTAATCACCGAAATATTTTACAAATTAACAAACGGCGATATTCATTTAATAAAATCAAGATTTAATCAAATGAAGGCAACTAGCCCTTCTTCAACGGTTTAGCTTCCTTCACCCACATGACAGCAGAGGATCATGGGAAGTGAAGTTCTTTACAGTTTCAACGCCAGCGTGCAGTTCAGCCACCTGCTGAAGCACATCACCACCTGCGGAAGCACATCACTGTGACTACTACACACACACAGCAGTATTTGTCACCACATTGGACACCAGCAACCATAGTTTATAATAAAAAGAATTTATTATAGTGACATATCCTTTGTTACATAAAATCTGCTACAGCAAAGTATATTCCCCTTGCAAACACAAGTAAATATGGGTGGGAAAAAACGTGTCAGCCTTCTAAATGATGTGCAAAATATCCCACAAACTAAATACAGACACATTTCAGATTATTGATCCCATACTGGCATGTGTGACTAGCTACGAAGAACTCATAAACTGATTTCCTTCAGTCTGGAGTGTGAGGTGGCTCAGGGAAAAGTGCCATCATTTACATTAAATATGACAAACATTTTCTTTTTTTACACACATGGGGGATAAATGACACATAAGAAGAGCTGTGGATTTCCTACACATTTTTATGGGAAAATTTACACACAGGCAGTTTGGATTGAAACATGCTGAATTCCCAGGTGTAGTTTTCAAACTTTGTCCAAATAAAAATGTCGTCGATTCTGCAATTACATTCTGTTCACCCTTCAAACTGGGAAAATTATGTTGGATCCCCTTTAATGAATTTCCTAAGTACAGAAATAAAACATAAAAGGTTAAGAAAAAGAATAAGTTAAATTGAAAGGCTACAATTTTAAAGAGACATGAGAGGCATCATTGTGTATTTACTGTGGTAAATATTTTCATTTCTAGAAATGTTTTATTTTCATTAAGGGCAAACAAAAAAATGGTATAAATAAATAATCCAATATATTCACTGTTTATAACACTTTTGTGAATAAAACAGTTGGAGTCTCCTTATACATACTGAGAACTATGCAAGTTCAAACATTTAAAATGTAACTTCATTAGACATCTCTAATATAAATAAAAATCACGTAAGAAACAGTTGTGCCTTTTGAAATGAAATCAGGGCTAAATAAAATGTCACGTCATGTGCTCAATATATGAAAACAAAACAAAAAAAACCAACAAAAGTTTAAATTCAGGCATAGCCAATATCAATATACAGTACATCAGTACCTTAAAAAAAGCATTCAGTCACCAAACCTTTTTCACATTTGGTTGTCTAAGATTGTTGAACTTGATTAAATTGCATTGTTCTCATTTACAAACACTTGAGCACCATGTCAAATAATGATCAAAACTTCAGAAGACTTAAGAGGTGTTAAATTGGATGACTGTCAACGATGCATTATTGTTTCCAACAAGATGCGCAATGTAAAACTTTGATTTCCCCACAGCCCTGAGTGTCCGACCTGCAGAAATGACCTCACACTCTGACCTCCGTGTGGGCGGCAGAGACAAACTTCCCTACAGGGAATCAAAGGATCACAGAAGTAGGAGTAATCAGGTCTTTTCTGACATCTGGAAGTTCAGCAAGTGGACACCTTGGCCTTGGAGGTATTGAACCTTTGACATACAGATTCTAGGATCACATGCTAAATGCACATGTAACCTGTCACGCCGGTGAAGAGTTTGCGGAGGCAGGAACTACATTTCAGCAGCAAGGACAGGCAATGTGCCAGAATTCAATGGAAGTGAATGGTGCTCAGTATAGAAAAATCCCTCGTGACACCTATATTCATCTCGAGGGGAGAAAAAAACGTGTTAAATATGCGGAGACAATAACTTAACAGGAGGGATTTACAATGACAAAAATGTTCTTCAAAAGTCAAACTCTTGACCTTATTCCCTTTGAAAATCTGTAACAATCCAAAACATTTTTGTCTGTTAACGTTCTCTAACTGACCTGACTCAGCCTGAGCAATTTTGCGAGGAAGAACGAGCAAATATTGCTCCATCACAGTGTACAAATTGTTTAAAAAAAATGACGCAGAGAGACTACAAGCTATACTTGAGGTAAGTATATGTTTCAACCAAGCAGTGACTGAGATAAATGAATACTTTAAGGTTATGATATTTCAGTTTTCTGTATTATTTCACGGTTAATGGTTTAGTTTTGCGTCTGTGGGATTATGCAGAGGAGCATGTCACTCAGATAAAAACTGCCTATACCTAATGCACCAATGTTTAAAGGTAACAAAACACGACACCAAAAAAAAAAAAAAAAAAAAAAAAAAGATGGGAACACTTTCAGGGCACTATTAGCTTGTTGTGACACTGCTGTACAAACGTAACAAACATGCAAAAGTAAAAATGAAAATAAAACAAATATGGCAGTTACACAATGTCTTCGGAGTGCTCTGCTAAAGCACAGTTTAAAAACAAAAACCGGAAAGCAACCCACAACTGGAAACAATATGCCCATGTGACCAACACTGCTTTGCATCCACAACAACATACTCTGAAGAAAATCAAATCATCAATCATCAAAATAACCTTTCAGCTACTGAAAAATGCCGTTTCAATGCACTTCATACTGGACGTACCAAAGATGGATGACCTGTTGTGTGGAGTGACATACTCAAACCCTTTCCCTCCTCGTGAAACAGAGTTGTACCTGAAAAATATATTACCTCATTCCTTCCATTTAAAACCACACCAAGTCTGAGGTGTGACCAGACATGGATAAAACGATGCTACAATTGAGTTAATACAGCACTGACAAGTTTCTGCTCCATGATAACACTTGTCACTGTTGATCCATCTCTTCAAGAACTCAATGCCCGAGTGCTAAAACTCAGGAACGTTGAGAAGTCATCAGTGTTGCTTTTCCTTCACTAAACACCTTTGTCTTTGTTTGAATTTTGGTCATGCTTTAAAAACACAAAGTGTTTGAAAATCCTATGTCTCATATATGTATATCTCTATATGCACAAATACACGGTTCTAGGTCTTAAGGACATCAGAATGATGATTAATGGTTAATGTTAAAGTGTTCATGATTCATGAGTAATAAACTGAACCCTAAAACACACCCAGGCATGTAACAGACAACAGATAACTGGCAAAACTCAATGTTAGAAAATCAACAAAATAAGAAATCCCTTCTATCTTCCCGAAGCTTAAATCACAATATGTGCAATACCAGCTAATACAATCAATCACTCTTTGTGCCATTTGAAAATGGGCATAATATTAGTTTACAAGTTGCTTTTCAAATAATTCTTTGACTTGAATTAAGGAGGAAGGAGGCTACTCAAAAGTGGCAAACATAGAGAAACAAAAAGAAAAAAAAAAGATGAGAACGTGGTCTAGTATTTTTGTGTTGCAGCACGAGGGGTGTCTGCATAATGTGCCTGTGTATAGGTTAGTGCTAACTGCACGCAGGATCATGGCAAGAAGGACCTCATTCAGCTGTGTGGAATGAAGGAACGAGGCATTTTGTTTTGGACACGTGACGGCCTCGGTTCCACCTTAACCCTCAGGAGAGTGCAAACATCCAAAAACATGGGAGCCCTGATGGGACTCTCACCCACCTACTAGAACTCAGCAAACTCTTTTGCACACTTTTCTGTTTGTGAGACACGAATGTCCTCCTCTTCGTAGTCGTCGAAGTTGCTTGTGTCTCCTGGTCCTCTGCACTTTGGCAAGAAGGGAGCTTCAACCTAAGAATGCAGAAGAAAGTGAGGAATTGTTTTCTGCTTATTAATTTTAATATGCCAAACAAGGGCTGGTGTTTATATATGTAAAGTATTTTATAAAATAATGCGAGTCAGTGTTCTTCGAATTGGGCAAATATCTAGAACTCTGGATGCTCTGATCACTTGGTTGCAGATCGGCATTGGTCGATGCTTTACTAACATCTTAACCACTGGCTCAGGAGGTAGGGCAGGTCATCCACCAACTGGAAGATAGCCGGTTTGATCCCCGACTCCTCCATCTTTGAGCAAGTTAATGGGCCCCAAATTACTCCTGATGGCTGTTCCATTGGTGTGTAAGTGTGTTAAAAACTGAGTAGGGGGAGGCACCTTGTATGGTAGCTTCGGCCACCAGTGTGTGATTGGGCCAATGTGACTCGTAGGGTAAAAGGCGCCTTAAGTAGTAGCGCAACTAGAAAGGTGCTACACAAGTGCAGTCCATTTACCATTTAAAACTCAGTCATCAGAAAATACAAAAGGCAAATAGTGTTTTCACTGCCTGATCTATCAAGGCTGCTAACAGAGAATGTGTTCATATCCCCAAGACAAGCTTACGAAAAAGGGGCACACCTACCTTTCTCTCGTAGATGGCGATCCAGTCTGTTGTGGAGAACCACTTGTGATTTTTTATGTCATTCACACCGTTCTTCAGGTTGCCAAATCTCTTCGTCAGGTCTACCTGGAGCAGGTTTCTCAGCAGATCCTTCAGGTCGGAGCTAAAGTGAGATGGGAATCGTACCTAGAGGAACGCAAAAAGAGAGGAGCTCTGGATTATCAAGCACGAACAAGAAACACTACAGAAACGACGCCAAGTTGATGCTTGTGGCTGAAAAGTGAAAGTCACGTTGCATGAGATGATCTCTGCATACCTTGCCAGACACAATCTTTTCATAGATCTGGATAGGCTGATCAGCAAAAAAGGGAGGGTAACCAGCAGCCATTTCATAGATGAGAACTCCGAGTGCCCACCAGTCCACAGCTTTGTTGTAGCCCTAGAAGAGTCATTAACAGAAACAAAAATCCATCATTGTCCAAAGGTTAGAGTATCGTTTCTTGGCCTATCCCGTAATCATGCAAGACCACCTTGGATTACAACTGGTATACAGTCGGAAAGGCTTGAGACATATGGAGCAGTCAGGTGGCTCTGCACTTGGCTTTTACATTAACATCATATGACTGCTGTTATAATTTTATCCCTTTATAAACAGTCAGCTAGTTTTAGGCCACAAAGTAAGTGGACAACTTAGCAAGATCCTATTGTGTTCAATGACCGACTCAGGTCAAGTCTTTCAGGTCTTAGATCTTTTTGACAAATGAAATGTGCTTGGTTGAACTGAACACAAACTCATTG